GCTGGGCTTGCAAGCATTCAAGTAAAAGAACAAAAAAACCTTTTTTTACAGATATATTAACAATAAGAGGAGGACTAAGTAGAGTCTCTTTCCTTTACTGGAGGCAGCAGGGAATGTGGCCACTGAGGTAAGGAAAAGCCTGATGCTCTCAATGCCTTCTTTACATCTGTCTTTGAAAGTCAGACCAATTGTCCTCGGGTTACTCAATCTCCCGACCTGGAATTTTGGAATGGGGAACAGCATAAATGGCCCACAATAAAGGTGGAAACAAACAGTTAGAGAAGTACTACTCCACCTGGACTGTCACAAGTCCATGGGGCTGGATGGGATCCACCCAAGGATGCTGAGGTGACTGTCAAGCCACTTTCCACCATCTACCACAGTTTCTGTCAACCAGCAAGGCCCCAGAGGATCAGAGGCTTTCCAATGTGACTCCAATCTACAAGAAGGGTCATGAGGAGGATGTGGGGAACTAAAGGTCTGTCAGCCACACCTCGGTGCTAGGAAAGATTATGGAACAGATCATCTTGAGGGAGATCATGTGGCAGATGCAGGACAGCCAGGGGATCAGGCTCAGCAGCATGGGTTCATGAAACGCAGGTCCTGTTTGGCCAACCTCGTCTTCTTCTGTGAGCAAGTAGAGATGGTGGAGTCACCATCTCTGGAGGTGTTCAAGAAACATTTAGTTGTGGTACTAAGGGACATAGTTTTCTAGGGAAATATTGGTGGGAGGTGGACAATTGGACAAGATGATCTTGGAGGTCTATTCCAACGTTTGTGATTCTATGATCATAGAATCATAGAATCACTAAGGTTGGAAAAGACCTAAAAGATCACCCAGTCCAACCGTTCACCTATTCCCAATAGCTCCTACTAAACCATGTCCCTCATGATCCTAAGATTCTAAGTGTGTACTGATGCTTTTAAGCAATTTCTTGGTTTATGCTGCGTGAGATTTTTGGCTGTGAAGGTGTTGTGGTAGGTTTGTGAGCAGGAAGCTCTGTTCATCTGTAGCAAACACCTTGCAGGCAGTGGCTCACAGGGCCTGTTTGGTGGAGTTATATATAGATTTTCCTCTCTGTGGGTCCTGTTAGTGAAACAGTAGGTTGCACAATGGGCTCTTAAGAGAGCTGTTTGTCTAGAGATTTATTGCCTCTCTGAGATCAGAGTATCAGGGCATTATAAACTTTCTGAAGGAGTGCTGAATAATCCCTATTCTCTGTGCACAAGGGCAGATATCCAGTGAATAACCTGCATCTGCCCCCTCCCAGTAAGGAGAGGAACAAAAGTCTCCGATCCTGTGAGCAGAATGAGAATGCTCGCAAATTATAACATTCCCTCTAACACTTTAGCATACGTAACAGGGCCCAGAAGTTGCCTAATCATTCACAAGGCTGTTTTTCATTGAGCAGGGAGGATGCTCAAGTGCCCTTTTCTCCATCTGGGGAGATTTTTGACCCTCTGTCTGCCTTGCTCTGGTGCTGCTTCTTTTGTTGACTGTGGTAGGCTGCAGCTCTTGTAGCTCGTTAAATAGCTTGAGAGGCTCTTTAATGAAAATTAATTGAGTGCCACTAATTCACGTGTCTCTTGAGAGAATAAACTAGATTCTTCCTTTTATTTTTCCTTAATTTCTGTATCATCTATTATCTCCTCAGAAAGAACATGCAAGTTAAATCTGGAGGCAACAGCTATGCAGTTTTTTAATTATTAGACGTTGAAAGAATTTCATACCCCTCTCTGCATTGTACTTGGGGAAACAGAGGAGGAAAAAATCTTCATCTTTTTTTCATGCAAAATATTTCTTACTTGCTCAGATTCTCGGGAAGGTCATGCAGTCAGTTTAATTCCTAGAAAGGAGGTATCTTTGATGAAATGTGAAATGAAGAGTGATGCAACAAATAGATAACATTGACTTGTTCACTGTCTCACTGATTCATATCTGAGGAAGACATGGAGGTGTTACACTGCACTTAATGCTACTTCTTCCAGTTACGTAGTGGCACAACTTTTTCTGTCTTTTCCCATTTACCTTTCTTCTGTTAATTTTTAATAGGAAAGAACTTCTTTTTTCTTCAAAAAATGTCCTCACTAAAACTAGTCCTGCTGGACTGACCAGAACATCACGAAGTTCAGGCAGAGCCACAAATGCAGAGAAACAACCCCAGGCACCAGGACATGCTGGTGGCAACGTAGCAGGGAAGCAGCTTTGTAGAAAAGGCCCTGGCTGGAGGTAACCAAGCTGAACATGAGCCTGCAGTGCGTCCTTGCCACGAGGTACCCTGTGCTGCCCCCAGACAAAGCACTGTCAGGAGGCTGAAGGAGCTGATCCTCCCCCTCTGCTCAGCATCGGTGAGACCGCTCCTGGAGTGCTGGCTCCAGTTGCCCTATAAGGAGAGGTGCCTTTAATTTCACAGAGCCCTTCTTATAGTTTCTTTTTCTTACTGTTGTCTGCCAGACAGTTTTAAATGTTTTTTGTTACTGAAGATACACAAAGGAAAGGTGATGTGGTAGGGGTGTAAAAACACATATTTAAAGTTAATCCCACATAAGGGCAATATTGTATATTTTTATCCAACTAAGCAAACAAAAACTCCCTTAAAAATAACCCTTACAGGAAATTAAGACTTGTTATTAGCTCATCGGAGATAATTACACATTCTGCTGTGTTCTTGTAGAGCAGAGCCACAAATACAATGACTACTCTGGTTAATTTGGAATCACTTGTATTTTCCCCAAGATTTCACATTTTGCCTGCCAGCTCAACATAGATTTGACCACTTCTGAAGCTCTCATGTTGACAATTTATTCAAATCCACACGTAAAGAAGAGATGAGATGCCTACTCTGGTACTCTGGTTCAAAAATGGCATCAAGTCACTTCTGAGCACCAGCTAAACAGACCAAGCAGCTTTAGTCAAGTTTGGCTGCCATTGTGCTTGAGGGAGAGCTTAGCAACACCCATTTGCTGTGCACTCCCAGGCTTTGTCATTTAGCATGTCCTTCTCCTGTGTCCTGGTTGGACAATGGTCGTGGGAGGGTTCTTTCAACCCTGCCTTTGTACCAGGGCATAATTTTCCCATGGATAATGTGTTTGTGCTTGGTTGTCTGCTCTTCCAGCCGTGCTGTATTGTTCTTATGGCAGGAACTTAATCTGCAGCTGGACAACTGAGGAGAAGAAAAAAAAAAGCAATCTGAGGAAAGGCATGAAATGAGAGAGGCTAAAATATCACCTTGGAATTATTAAATCAAATTAATCCCACGTGTAATGCAATGAGTTTAATTGGAATTACACCGTGGATTAGTGCAGCTATCACACTGTAATAGCTGTGTGGCTTCAGGAGTTGGTTGAACAGGTGTTCCTTGCCTCCTTATATCTTTCCAGCTTCATTCCTTCACCTCCAAGTCATCCCTGCTCCTCCGTCCCCACAATGGGCCTCACTTCTCCTTTTGAGGAACTACGTTTACACCACTATCTTTCCTCTCATCCCTCTTCTGGGGTTTCCCGTTTTCTCGATCCTTCTCCCATATATCTCAGAAGCTTGGCAGATGCTCACTATCTTTTTCCTTTAGGGGCATCTTTCACAGCAACAGCATCTTTAAGGTCCCTTCCAACTCAAGCCATTCCAAGATTCTGCCATCTTAAGCTCTTCTGAGAGAAGGGCAGAGATGAAACAGGAGTATTTTTATGGTGATGGACACACTGGCAGTAGAGGAACAAGTACCAGCAAACGCCCACAGTTCCCATGCTCATCCACATATTGGAACTAGGGAGAGCACTTGTTCCTTTGGAGATGATTAGAAGTTAGTTATCTCCTGCTTAGTGGGGAAACAGTCCTGTTTGCATAATCGTCCTCACAGCTGTGGGCTCGATTAAGAGTAGGGACTGGGGGATGGGAAGAAGGGGTCAGAGAACAAGAGCAATGCTGGATGGGGCTGTGCATCCTCAGGGCACGTGGAAGAATCCAAGCCATCACGTGCAGAATTACACACCCACTGTGAGTGTCTTCCTTTACCACTGGCTTGCAGGTCATCTCAAGGGTGCTGTGTGGTTTCCCTCCACAGGGACCGTGCCTGTCCTCTGGTTTGGCAAAGTCCTGAGCTCTGGGCTTTTTTCAGCAGTGGAAAGTTCCATGGGTTAGTTGTGGATTTTCTGAAAAGCCGTCAGGCATGGCATTCACCCGATGGGTTTTATGTGGCACAGGACTCCTGTGTGTTTCTTCCCAACCTTCGTAGCGTTTGCAGAGTGAACTGGCCCAGCACCGAGGGCCTGAACGCGGGGCGGATCGGCTTTTGGCAGTACCGTTATCCTTCAGGGGCGATGCTGAGGCTGCTGATTCGAGCCGCGCAGTCCCAACCCTTCCCTCGGTCCGCCCCCCTCCCCAAAAGCACCCACTGTTACTGGGCCGAGCAGGAGGCCTTCCCAGCATGGCGGTAGGGGGACAAATCCCACCTTTTGGACAGAGGCAAGCTTTCAGAGGCCGTTTGTACCCGCGCCCCGCCTGCATCTCCGCACCAAGCCGGCGAGGAGCCTTGCCGCGTGCTGGCTCCCAGTCCGGTAGCCGAGCCAAAACCAAAAGGGCGCATCCCAGACAGTCACCCCGAGTTTATAAATAACCAGGCTTCGGGGAATAATACGTTTCCATCCCGGCTTGGCGCTAAGGGCCGGTTCCGCGCCGCGGTTCCGCGCCGCGGTTCCGCGCCTCGCTCTGACGGCCCACCCGCACCACCACAGCAGCGGTGCCGCTCGGTCCGACTGAAGCGCACGCTGCCGGCCGCTCCGCATCTTCGCAGCGCGGCGGGCCCGGGCCGTGCCCAGCTGGAAGCGGGCGGCCGCGAGGGAACGCCTCAGCGCCGGGCCCCGGAGCCGCTCCTCCTCCGTCCCTCGCCACGTCGGTGGCCGCGGCGGGAGGAGGAGACGGAGGAGGGCGCAGGTCGAGAGGGGCCGGCCCGGGGCAGAGCTACGTGTCGCGGAGCCCTTATAGCCCGCTGTCGCCCGCCGGACCTGGCCCTGCCGTGCCGTGCCCCGCCGTGCCCCGCGTCGCCCGGCCGGCACCATGTTGAGCAGCCAGCAGACGGTAGGGCCGCGCTTCGCCGCGGGGCCGCTCCCTCGGGGCTACCGGAGCCGCTGAGGCGACGGCCCCGGACGGCTTTCGGCGTCCCGCGGAGTCCGGGTTGCGGGGAGCGGGAGAGGGCTTCGTTTCGGGGGCGACGGCCTGGGGCGCGGCGTTTTCGTGGCCGGCCGGACACGGGCTCCGAGCGGCCCCTCCGTTCGCCCCCGCCCCGGGCAGCGGGGCGACCTTTACCAGCCGGCCGCGGCCGACCTTTGCACCCTGCTGTCACAGGGATGCCGAGCGCCTGACGGCCGTGCGCGGGTTGCCCGGGGAGCGCAGAAAGGGGCTCGCCGATCGCAGGGCTTCGCGATGGGTCCCGCCAGCGATGCGGTGCCCGGCCGGGGGCGGCCGCGGCTGGCCGGCGTGGGACGGTGCGTGAGGCGCGCGGGCGGTGTCGGTCACACCGTGCCAAGGGGAGGGCTGCGCTTTATCTGAGATTTTGCTGAGAAGAGGGGCGAAGTGCGCGACTGCGGCCGGGCGCCTGGCTGTCGTGGCTCGGGGCCGGAGCGCGGTGCTAAATCCGAGGCTGGAAAAGGGAGCGTCACCCACCTGTCTGAGACCCTGCCGGCGTAGTGCTTCTTTTTCTTCTTCCTTAGCCTGCTTCTTTCCGTCCTCCTCTCCTGTTAAAATCCCGGTTGCTACCACTTCTTCGTGGTGTGGGCGATGCGTTCATCTTCCTCCTGCGGGAGGTGAGGCTTTTCAGGTACGCTCCGGGGAGAGAATGGATTCTTCCAGCGTTATTCGCTGTCCGCTGACATGTCAGAAATGGGTTTGGTAGGCGACACTGCTTGGCTGCCCGCTGTGGGAAGGTGCAGTGGTGCAGCTACGAGGTGAGCTGAGGTGATGCAACTGCTCTCCCCGTTTTGCACGCTGAGCACCCGTAAGCCCCCTGCTTAAAACATGTATTCACCCTGCGTGCTGCGTGGAGTTTGAGGTTATTTTCACCTAGCAGCCATTTATTAATGTGAGCTCATGGTAAGATGCAAAGAAGAAAGCTTAGGATTTTTGATCTTTGCATGTGTTACCTTTAAAAATCAGTAAGGCCCCTTGGCTCTGGATAAGACCCAGCACTCGATATGGGGATTCTTTTGCTGCTAACGTGGTGGCACTCCCTTTGCTTCTACCTGTGATACTGTGAGAGGCATGAAGTTCTCCCTGTGTCTGAGTTTACTTCAGTTCCAAGACTTCACTGACAGCAGGCAGTGCTTAATCCTGACCCCTCTCAGAGGTGACTTTTGGAGACAAAGAACAATCTTTAATGGCAACCTTAGCACTCCTTATATAAGCCTCCTGTGTGCCCCTATGGTGAAATCTTACTCTCGGGAGTAAGCGTACCTTAAAGTAATTGCAGTGAGTAACGTGGAGCGGTGGAACAGCCCTTGTTTATTGCACAGTGCAGCATTCATGGCTGAGTAGTTCTTTCAGTCCCGACGAAAGAGCAGCTTGTTCTCCCTACACCTGCGGCACTGCTGGCATTTCCTCTGCTTGGTTCCTCTCTGCACTGAGCGGTGTTCTTACAGCAAGCAGAAGGACACAGGCAGTGCAGTGTGCCCGGAGAGGCAGCCCCAGCCCAGAGGGACCATCCCCTTGCCAGGGCAACCGGCTGCACAGCTCGCTCCTTCAACAAAACACGAGTGTGTGGAAGGTGCAGCTCAAATTCCTCGTGGAATCGAGGTGTTTGGTAAGCATGCAGGAGACCTGTCTGAACCCACATGGGAGCAACACACATGGGATGAGGCAGCACTGGGCAGAGGGCTGGGCAGGGTCCAGCTTTCTCCTCGAATATCCTTACAGATGCTATGGGCAGAATGAGGGCCCCTAGAGAAACTGCCTGCTTTGGGGTAAGTGCTGCAGCCTTGTTTGCAGGCTCTGTGAGGGTGCCTCCAGCAGCTGAGCGATGCGGCACACAGCGTCCTCTGGCTTCGTGGACGAACCCTTCCAGTAGCCCAGCAGATCCCAAAATTGTAACTTCTGAAGGTTCAGTTTTGCTTGCACAGGGCTTACGTGTACAAGTTACTGATCCTTATTGAAAGGTAAATTAACATGTAAAAAAGATTGTAAACTTTTCTTCAGTTTACTTAAAAAAAAAAAAAAAAAAGAAAAACCTGTGAGATTAGATGAACAGTGCTGAGGAAATATGAAGAAAGCTTCATTTCTTTGCCTAAAAACTGTTGAAAAAAGTGCAACCACAGGGCAGAGTTCAGATGGACTGTGGTATCACAAGCTGTGCGATAATGTTTGTACAGCTTTATCATTCTGACTGTGAACCAATGTGAAATAAGTAAAAAGAGGTTGTAAAAGTTTGTTTGTCTGCTTATTTTTTACTCCTGTTTTAAATATAAAGAAATTGACTGAGTGATCTTCTGACATCTCTAAGGGTGTTTATATTCAGAGCAGCTCTGCAGAGCTCGTTGAGCAGATGCTGAGGTTGGTGAAGTGGTACAGCTTGGCCTTGGTGCACCTGTCAGGACTGGGCTTACAGCTGCATTGTGCTTTCTGAAACACACTCGTTGCACCGTGGTGGTAAACGGTGACCATTTCCTAATTGCTTAGGTTGTCTGATATTCCTTGTATTATTTTATGCCACTTTTTTGATTTCTTTTGCCTTTGAAGATCAAGATGTCATGAGACTATCACAATACGCTCTTGTTTCTACTTTTATTGTTTCTTATGGCTCTCTGTTTCTTTTTTAAGTCCTTTGCTGTTAAATGCTCCCTTCTTGGTCTGTTTCTCTCGCCCTGCCGTTTCACTAACTCGTGCTGTTTTGCAGGGCTGCCAACATACCAGCAGCCAGTAGCTGTGAAACACTCTCTGTCCTGTGAAAGCAGCACTGTTCATTTGGGGGAATTTCATTCAAGAAAGGACAGAAAAAGTTGCAGACTCCCAGATATGAATGGCTGTTTCTTTCCATGGGAGGTTGAGTCACCCAGGGGATGGGGAACAAAGTGATCAGTGTGGTCCAGCCCCAGGAGCTGTGTGCTGGGAAGGGCGGCTGTGCTTTTCTGCAGGGCAAGTGGTCCCTGCCTGAACGACCCTACAAGCTTCGTCGTTTTCCTTCTCGTAGGGACAAGTGGCTCATTTGTTCTCCTGCTGCCTGACCCCTGATCAATAGCATCCGGCCTCATCTGTTCTTTGGGCAACACCAGTGAAGTCACAGAGAAGCTGCCGGACAGTTACAGCCTGTGCCAAAATCCATCACTCAGGCATAGGTTTTCAGCTGTATGCATCTTGGCCAGCTCCTGCAAGAGATTTCAGGCCATACAGGGAACAATTTTGAAGACCCCAAGCTATCCAGACATGTGCATTGCAGCTGCGAGTTAGATTTAGGTCACAAGGATTTTGTTTTTCCTCAGGATTTTCAGGAGAATATTGGCATACTTGCATTTTTTACTGGGCTGATGTTGATCCTGGAAGGTGTTTTTAAGTAGTCTTTAAAAATGAAAAAACCTTTTCTATCTGAAATCAGGTATTTTAGATAAACTTGCAGCTGTACACACCCACGAAAGATAAGGGGTTTTAGGGCCTGTGTTAATACTTGTCTAGTGATATCCTCTGCCTTGAACTTGTACTTTGATTGCAGTGCTTGTAGCTTTTGTACTTAAAGGTCCTTTCAGAGAAATGTCATGTGATTTGGGTTATTAGTTATTACTTTACTGTTAACATGAGTGTGGTGACTAACAATTAATCTCAGAGTAAGCTCTGAATCACAGCTGTGGGAAGTGAGAAATAGCTCCTTAATGGCCTTGTAGCTTAGTCATTTTTAAGTGAAAATTTACTTGGAGTGTATCGTTAGCAAAAGGAGGGAGGCAAAAAGGAGGGCCAAAGGAACTCTGTTTGGATGTGTGTCGTGAAACAGGATGCTAGAAAGTTAGGGTTTGCCCATCTCTCGTTGCCAGTTGTGCAGCCTCCCATCCTCGTGGCACAGTCCAGTTTTGTTTGCTTATACCTTGGCAGAGCTACAGCTGTTGGTGTCAAGAGTTTTATCTGCTGAGCAAGTGCCAAAGCATATTGGCCTGTTTGGAGAGCAGAGCTTGAGAGGGAAGGCAGCATAAGCACTCTCTTTTTCTTAGTCTGGCTTTTCTTTAGACACAGTGCTTTGGAGTTTGTTGAGGTTATTTTGCCACCCGCTTGCTAGATTGCTCACCTATGGAAAATGACCATTTGAACTTGCATTTCCAAGACTTTCTGACTTCGAGGTCTTCACAGAATCTCTGGCAGAACAGCATTTCCATTTTTCAACTTTCCAATGTAGCGCAAAAACGTGTTTTGGGTGGGAGGTCATTTTTCAGTCCTACCCAGCCCTACTGGTGGGCAGATCATCTGTTTGTGAAGACCCAGGTGGTGGAAAGAGAGACAAACTTGATTTTAAGAGAGGTGAATGTGGCTTGGGGGGTCAGTATTGCACTCGAGGGAATGGCATGGAGCTGTCAGGGGAGAGGCAGCTGGGGGTGAGGGAACGGCTCTGCAGCAGAGGGTGGTGGGCATGGAATGGACTGAGGCAGTGGGCGCAGCCCTGAGTTCCAGAGCTCAGAGTGCACTGGGACACTGCTCTCAGACATAGGGTTTGGATTTGGAGTGGTTCTCTGTGGAGCCAGGGGTGCAACTCAGTGATCCTTGCAGATCCCTCCCAGCTCGAGGTGTTCTGTGATCACATGCTTCTGTAGCAGTTGTATGGACTGGGTATGCAGACAGGGCAGGAAGCCTTGATTCCAGAATCTCCAAACTGTAGAATACAGTTTTTGAGCCTGGCTCATGCAGCTGGTAGTATAGGTGGCGTGGTAAACTGCGTCCCAGTGAACGCAAGCTGTCATCTGACTGGCAGCAGTGTGGCGGGGATTTAGAGGTGCTGAGCAGGGGAAAGACTGGTTTGGACACATCTGCAGTCTCCAGCAGCAGCTGGGTGTGGGGCCCATGGGAGAGTTTACAGCTGAGATACATGTCCTGGTGTGTCATCACAGCTCCCC